ATATGGAATATAGAATTACTTTTTGAAATACTCTTAGCTGGGAGTACAGCAGCACAATGGGGACAGGTGGGAAAGGAGAGGAAAAAGATGAAGACAGGGGAACAAATAAACGTAGGTTGGCTGGTGAGTGGGAAGAAAAAAAAGAAAAGGGGTGAGGCTGTAGGGCTCTGTGCCTTTTAATCTGTGACTTTTATGGGTTTTATAATTGTTGTTTTTATTGTGTTTTTATAATGTGCTGCTTATATTGTAAGCCGCCTTGAGTTCCACAAGACAGAAAGGTGGCTCACAAATGTTTTAAATAAAATAAATAAATTAAATAGGGGCAGCCAAGGAACCGGAAAGAGTAGGGTTGCCAAGTCGTACCTCGTCCTGAAGCGGGGGACTCCCGGGTCGATCCTGGAGCGCGCACCACATCCACGTCACCAGGAAGTGACGCGACCACGCCGGGCATGCTGGGGGCGGGGCCACGACCATCCGAGGGGAAACCATAGAGTTTTCTCTCGGATGACCGTGGCCCCGCCCCCAGCGTGCCTCGTGTGGTCGCATCACTTCCTGGTGACGTGCACGTTGGGGTGGAGTCCCCCCCGGGGCCCAATCCAGCTGCGGCGGGGAACGGGCCTCTGGGGCGGGGATTTCTCCGCCCCCCGGGGAGACTTGGCAAGCCTAGGGAAGAGGAAGCAGCAAGGAAGGGGGATAGAGTGGAAAATGGGATTCATGGGGTGATATATATGCCAACACATTAAAACTAAAGCATAGAAATGACACTACATGTGTGAGAGTACAGGGATTAATTTCCTTGACATTTTGCAGCAGTGACCTCAGCTACTGTGACACCAGAGTGCCACCTCTTCAAAGGAGGACTTGTTGCCTCAGGGGCACTGCTACCTTTAGAGGATGTTAACGTTCAGGCACACTCAGACAACTAGGAGGAGGAGGGAGGAAGAAAGGAAGTGAACCTTCTTCTTAGTATTCAAACAAGCCCTTCTGTCTCTCTGTTTCTCCACCAGAGACTGGCAGGCATGCAGATCAGGGCTGACAAGAAAGGAGGACACTTAATGCAATGAATAGGGTGAAGTGTGGATGGGAAAGGATCAAGGAGGCGTGCTTCTGCGAAAAAGGAATGTGATAGACTGAATGCAAGAAAGAAAAATTGCATTAGATTACATAAGAAAGAAAAACTGCGGTCATATCATTCTAGGTTACTTTATTAACATATAATTGGAATTCGTAACAGGCTTTGTGGTATCAAACAGACAGAGAGGAAATATCACAATAACAGCCAAGCAACCATGTACTACTACAGGGAAACTAGGCATATAATATTACAGTACAAAAGAGAGATTCTGCAGTGCTTGCATTTCCCCCCGTTTGTTTTCCTACCCCTCTATGCCCATTCACTCCCTTCTCTCATCCTAGGCATGGTAAGGAGGGAGAAAAGGGGGTAGGCAAGGCAGAAGAGTGGCTTCAGTTTCTACTTGTCATCTACTCCTGGTGGCCTCCACCAATACATATTCTTGGGCCATTTGGGGTTACTAGGGCAACTCAAAATGTCACCCTAATTCCATTATTTATTTATTTATTTTTGGCTACATCTGTTCATGACATTGCAGTCATATCATTCTATGTTACTTTATTAACATACTAGCAGTAAAGCCCGTTGTGAAAGCAATACAACGAGATCTAGAAAGAGGCTCTGGGGGAGTGCTCTGGCTTTGGGCAAACAGTGTCAGTTTGCTGTGGTGACCTCAGCAGGGTATAATGACAGAGTCCACTGTTTTCTCCAGAGGAACTGATCTCTGCTACCTGAAGAGCAGTTGTAATAGTGAGTGATCTGTAGCCCTCACCTGGAGATTGGCAGCAATTGTTACCCAGGACAAAATGGCTGGTTTGGAGGGTGGAGTTGGCAACCCCATCTCCTTCCCAGCTAACCATCAACCTACCATTATCTGCCCTTTTGACTTCAGCTGATTTCTGCCCTCCCTTCTGCAGAGCAGTTGTAATTCTGAGTGCTCTCCAGCCCTCACCTGGAGATTGGCAACAATGGTTCCGTATGTGGGAATGATTGGTTTGGTGGGTGCAGTCTATGGCAGTGTACCTGTCTGAGGTCCCACCCCTCCTCAAACTTCACCCTCTTCAGGCTCCATCCCTCAAATCTCCAGGAATTTTCCATCTGGAGTTGGCAACCCTATCAGGACTGGCCCCAATGTGTTTTCTCCCAAAGGCCAAAGTAGGTGACAGGACCAAGCTTAGCTGCCTACCAACAGGCACTGAGGGGAAAGTAGGGTTGCCAGCTATAAGGA